TCTCTCTCTCTCTCTCTCTCTCTCTCTCTCTCACACACACACACACACACACACACACACACACACACACACACACACACACACACACACAGTGTCACACACTTGTGGACGTGCTGATCTCATTCGGAATCAGCGTTGCAGCCCTCATCCTCAGATGGCTGTTCGCTGCAGTCAGCTGATTCCGGGTCATCCTCCACGACCGTCTTGCGCTGAAAAGTGGGGGTCCCCGTTAACCACTTGTGCAGCGAGGGCGTTTTGAGCAAGAGGAATATGTGCTGCCTTGCTGGCAGGGCCAGGAAGAAAAAAACAAAACGAGAAAAAAAGGAAAAACAGCTATGTTTCCCTCTCCCCGTAATAGTGGTCAGATGCATTCAGGAAAGTGATCATTTGCGTATGGCCTCCATGACGTTTCCCTCTCCCCGTAATAGTGGTCAGATGCATTCAGGAAAGTGATCATTTGCGTATGGCCTCCATGACGTCCTTTCACGACATCATAGCTCTCTGGCATGTTTGTTCCTTTGTTTTGTTTTCTTTTCATTTTTCCCTTCTGGCAGACCGCAGGCACCAGTGCCACTTCCGAAATTCTCACTGCAGGTACCCTCACGCAGAAGGCTCGGAAAATAGTGGCGCGCAGTGGGCAGGTAGGTTCGGGAGTTTAGGTGCGTGTGTACTGGTGGTTTAAGACCGGACTCAAGCTGAGTTCGGGGGGACTCAGTTTTCCGCCTCAGTGCTTGTGCTTCCGTGTGACTTGCTGCGACATTGTTTGTGGAACCAAGATTGCGACTTTGTCTGCGTCCATCGAGTCGTGTCGAGTGAGTGTGTGTGTGTGTGTGCTGTCACTTCCTCCCTCCCTCTCTTCCCCGGCCTCGCTGCTCTGCCCCAGCCTCGTCACACTAAGGGAATCCAAGGCTAGGACACACGAAAGAAAGACCTACGGGCCTACCAGTGTCCAGAAGGGCAGAAAAGGACAACACAGCAAGGCTGAAAGGCCTAAGACTACGGAGTAGAGAGTACTAGCGACAGGTTCAAGGTTCAAGCCCAATAAGGCTCAAAAACAGTCAAACACCACAAACACACTACAGGTCATGGGATCAAGTCCCAGGTTGAATTCAGCAACTGCAGAAACCGACAAAACAGCAAAGCCTAAGGGTCTAAGACTGCCAAATAGAGACTAATAGCTACAGGTCTAAGGATCAAGCCCAGTAGGGCTCAAAGCTAACAAACCAAACGTACAAATTACAGGTCACAGGATCAAGTTCCGCAAGCCCCAAACCAAGGAAACAAGAAACACAGTTAGTGCACAGTCCCACTGGGATACTGCTATTTATTGCATCTGAATGTTAGAAGTCTTAGGATTGCCTCTCAGAAGAGTGCAGGCTCGTCATATGTTTTTTATGTACTGTAAAACTCACATGTGTACAGAATCTACAGTTTCGCATCAGTCTTCATCAGGAGTGATAGCGGACTTTTGACTCAACCTGGGTTTCACTTGGGAATGCCAAAAAACCAGAAAGTTGCCCTCAAGCGAATTGCTAACATTGACCTAGGCTTCAGCACCTGCACATTGGCTCATACTGTCTATAGTTGGCCTGGTAAGCTGTAGTGGGAAGGGATTACTAGGCCACTTTTTATTGCTCGCAATGGTGTACTGTGCATGCTTGTGATTATAATGGTTTTTTTTTTTTTTTTTTTTTTTTTGTTGTTGTTGTTGTTGTTGTTGTTGTTGTTGTTGTTGTTGTTGGAAAGATACAGAACCTCTCGGTTCTGGCTCCTGCCAGTCTGGGGAGCAACAGTCCGGTTCCTATTCCCCCGGCAAGTCAAATATGAATTTTACAATGAAGACACGCGAAGACACGCGCACGCTCACCCAATGTAACTGAAGGACTTTGTCGTCTTACCTTGCCGCCTCATTGTGGGTGTTCATGTGTGTTTTGTGGCTGGTGCATGCTGGGCATGGGACAGACCTATGGATATGGAGGATCGTCATCGGTGATCAAAGCTCTTGCAGGTAAAATCTTATTCTGTGTTATGAGGAATGCTGGTCTGCATTTGTGAGGATTGCCTCTTTTTTTTTTTTTTTTTTTTTTTTTTTTTTTTTTTTTTTCCTGTTTGGTCTGCAGTTACACCATACATCTGCGGGGGGAATCTGTGCTCTCTCGATGTGTAACGTGTGAGAAGTTGGAGCCCTTTGCGCAGGCTTTAGAGCTCTGGCCAAGTCCCTGGACAGCAGACAAGTACACCTCGAAGTCGCAGATGTAGGATACCATCCTCCATATTTCGCAGGTGCCTTGTTTCTCACGTTTTTCTGAAACTTAAAATCTACATACTCCTGTGCAGCAGGCGCAGAATACTCTTTCCATAACAGGCTGGCCACAACAGGTGCCTTTTTTGGCATGTGGGCCGTGTCAGTAAAAAAGGGTCAAAGGGACTGGTGGTTGAAGGGAGAATATCAGTGTGCAGAATCTCTGAAATGCAGCAAACGATTATGGTGTTTCCAATTTTGATAGTTTGCATCTACGGGGATGTCAGACACCCCCCTTCTCTTTAGAACATGTCCCGATCCGTATTTGCTGCTCATATTTGGGAAAGGGAGCTCCTGCGAAAGCAGGGTGAGTGTTCCACGCTCCACACCCGTCACAACCTTTGATCTGTGAATACGTTCGTCTCAGTTCGTTCTGTCAGCCGTTTGAGATATAATGTCCATATTTTAACAGCTGCGAGGAATGAGCCTCGCAGAGCCCTTATCAGACATACAAGTGTTCTGGGCTGTGGGCCCTAGCAAGCCTCGTGCCTGCCCTAAGTGAAGGCGGGCCTGAATATCCACGAGAGGCCTGTTCTCGACAACTTTTCCATATGTGGGTACTCAGACAGTTGCAGCACGCCAGTTGGTTACAGAACAACGTGAGCCTCCAGGCTCTTTCCAAAAGCAAAGGGCCGCACTGTACAGTTGAGTTCAGGGCTCAGGCGGTTGCGGCCTGGGCACACACTGTGTGAGGCTTATACATCACGACTGGTTACGGGCCAATGAGGAAGCAGCATTGTGGTCACACATGGGCCGCTAGCCACTGAGAATGCTGCAAACACTTGGAGGCTGGGTGGCTGCTTGGACGTGCCTAACTGCACGAGGCCCAGTTCAGTTTTGGAAACTGAGCCTGGGCGCAGACACTTGGGGCCCAACTGAAGGTACTGGTCCCCCCACACGCCTGGCCAGGACAGCCAGCAGCGACGCACTTTCCATAAAGGAAAGTGTGAGCCCCTGGCAGTGGCATTCTGGCCTTGGCAGGCAATGCGGACACGCTGCTGCGCTAGCATGGGCCTGCTGATCGGACGCGCCCATGGGCGCAGAGGTGAGGGCCGCTGCAACGGCAGCGGGCGCACAGCAGCCAAAGCCGGGCTGCCAGGGCGCAAGGCAGGTGATGGCGAAGGTGGTCTTTGGGTAGGAGGCGCATGCTGTGGGAAGACGAGGGGTAATGAGGGAGGGAGAGAGAACTTAACTGGTGTATGCTGGTGGTCGGCATTGGTGTTGACGTCACGTACATTGGTCTTCGACTTCAGAGTGATCCAGTTGCAAGAATGTAGATACGCTAGATAGGCTTAGTACGATAGTCTGGGCGCTGGGCGCCGAACAGTAAGTGCGACATTGGATACAGTGTTGGTGTGACCAGACAGTGGCGACATTGACATTTGAGTTCATTGTATTGCTCTTATTTGGACGGTATCTTGGTGCATTGCACTCTCTGCTTGGTTCCTGACTATCTGAGCTTCTTCGCGATTTTGCAACTTGGATTTCTGTCTATGGCTCTCGCCCGTATTCCTTGCACAGCCAACCCCTGTAAAACAATGACGACAAGGGAGAAAAAAGCAAGCCAGAATACCAATTTTTTGGATGAGCAGTGAGCACAGCTTATCTGTCCTTTTTTTGGAAGTAGCTTGAGCATGTGAATTCGCTATGGAGCAAAGTCAATAACCCAAAGCTGGAACGATACAGAGAAGTGAGCATGGCCCCTGCACAAGGATGACACACATAAATCGATAATCTGTCCAGAGAAACAAGAAAAGCAAAAAAAAAAAAAAAACTGTGCATCTCCTTATCCCTGGAAAGCGTGAACTTCACGTGCGATGTTACTGAAGTAGTCAGCAGGTTTCACACTCGCAACCTCTTTCTCGTCCTTCGCCTCCCTCCTACTCCCTGCTCCTGCGTCGTTCCCCCTCCCCTGCCTTGGAAGCCTGAAGAAAGGGGCCAAGGGAAATGGGAAAGGAGAAAGGAGGAGGTGAACCTGTTGTGCATTCCAGAGCGTGATAGTGACGGTTCAAACGTGGTTTTCTTGGTGGGGCCATTCTTTCTTCTAGCCTTGAAGTGATAGCAAACAACTAGGATAATCATCTCAGCTAGCATGAGATGTTAGTAGGTTAGAGAGAGAGAGAGAGAGAGAGAGAGAGAGAGAGAGAGAGAGAGAGAGAGAGAGAGAGAGTACATGGATGTCTTATAGGCAGTTGATTGTCGAACTTTTTGCAGGTGTGTCAGGCGAAGTTGTTCGTAGGCTTGCTTCTTGCTTGGATTGTGTTGACTCCTCAACGCTGAACATTCTAAGTAATGCCCTTTCACCTGATGCCCAGGTTATGGGAAGAAAAAATGAAAAATGAAAGGACCAATATTCAATTTGATCAATTTTGATGCAAATTGTTTCCCTTTACGAGTTGCTTGCTGCTGGAGGTGCTGTGAGTCGATACAACAATCAGGCCCCACTGTTGCAATGGTCGTGCTTGAAAAGTGTCAGCCTTGTCATAAATACGGGCAAGTTCTTGCATTGTTAGCATGAACATGACAACAGTGGGACCTGACACTTAAGTCTCTTTTGTCGATTTGAATGTGGGATGAATCACAGATTCGGTGTCAGAAATGCAGATTTTGGCCTCTCTCATTCTCCATTTTCGCTATGGTTTGGGAAACATTGAAGCACCTTCTGTGCTGTGGCAAAGAGTTTTGCGAATTGTGGCAGCATTGAATTCAATACAGGATTGTGAATGGGGAATCTGTAACTTAAGCTTCTGATTTCCGAATGTAATCATGTTCGGTATAAACTGGAAATATGTTATGATGGCATGATTGACAGTACCTTCTTCGGGCTCTTCACACCTTGAACGTACCACTCTAATGTTCTGCATATTGTTCCAATGTTAACGGATATCCCGAGAGAAGTTTCCTGTGTTTCCCTACTTTTGGATGTGCTTGTGATTCATCCTTTCAAGTTTTGTTTCTTTGTTTCCCTCCTTTTGTTGTTTGCGCATGTGCCAAGATCATGAAGATCCCTGAGTTTTTCTGCATTCTCGTGAGAATGTCTTTGCAGCAACTATGCCATAGTAGAAGTGGGTACACTCAAAGTTCGCTTGCAACGGCGTGTTCACATAGTTTGACATGCAGAGGTGCTCTCGGACACACACACACACACACACACACACACACGCACACACACACACACACACACACACACACACACACACACACAGAGTCGCTTGCAACGGCGTGTTCACATAGTTTGACTTGCAGAGGTGCTGTCGGAGAGAGAGAGAGAGAGAGAGAGAGAGAGAGAGAGAGAGAGAGAGAGAGAAGTGACGTTGTGTATGTAGTAGGAGGGACCATATCATTGGTCATAAGCGTAAAAATTATGATGAATGTAGGCTGTGGACGTGGATGGAGAAGGACATTCAAGGGGAGGTGTTGTTGGTAAAGGGTTGCAATAGGAGGTGTAGGGGGAGGGTGGAGTGAAGAAAATGCAGAAACCTGTGATTGGAGATGGAGGATGAGGGCAGATGTGAAACGGTATTCACCAGTTCGCAGTAGCAAATGCAGATCCCAGGGCTCGATCCCTAGTTCCCCATCTTACCTGTGTACGGTATTGATGACAACCCGTAGATTTGAACCTGCGACCTGTCGAAACGCCAGTGGTAGGTAGAATGTCGTAGGTCACAGCTTAGAAGGGAATCGAACTGTAGACCTGTAGGGTAGGAGTCTAGACAGTTCCGAAGTCGTAGCTGTAGGATGTCTGAAGGGTCAAGGTCGTAACTTACCTGAAAGGGCAAAGTCGTAGCTGCTACAGTACCGAAAGGCCAAAGTAGAAGTTTCTAGAACTGGCCTTTCGGAGTCAGCCCCTGTTTAGGCCGGAGGCAAGTGGGCAAGTGGTGTAGGTCCACTACGTAGAGTCAGCAGTCCGAGGTAGCCCAGTCCGGACCAGTCAAGCAAGTACCGTCTGGGACTGTGCACATCGTGGGCCAAGGGATACAGGGCAGACCAATGCCGCACAGAAGTATAAATCAAGAGGCTGCGTCCAGCCATTCATTCATTCCTGCGGATGCCATGCGGAAGCGCTGCCTCAGCAGCTTGTGCGAGGAGGTCTGCAGTGTGCCCGAAGACAAAGTGGGCAGTGAAGTGTAGTGTAGCGATAGGATAGTGGCAGCCATAGCTGCCATAGCTATAGTAACACGTGTGTGTGTGTGTGTGTTGCGTGTAGAGTGTTGCGTGTGGGACATCCAGGGTGATCCAGAGTGCGAACAGTGAGTTGTGTGGGCGCTGAGTCGCCATAGCCAGTTTGAAGGGAACTCCTACCTGGTTACGATATCTTTGAGTACTGTGTGGGCGCATGTCGCCAGTTTGCTGTTTCGCTGTTTGCATGCATGACAAGTGTGAAGARGTCGAGTCTGATTGCACTGGTATCGGAGCAGGTACCCGCTGTCCCATGCGCGCGATGTGTGCAGGGCCGATCGGCCATAGCTGAAGTGCCGCCGGAGGAGGCAGTCCGCCATAGCGGACCTCGAGGTGGAAGAAGACGCCGCGCACCTGCAACAAGAAGACTACGAGAGAGAGAGAGAGAGAGAGAGAGAGAGAGAGAGAGAGAGAGAGAGAGAGAGAGAGAGAGATGAGCGATCCAAGATTGGTTGTCACTTACCTGTGAGCCGAGTGGTGGAGTCCGGTGGAGGAGGAAGACGGCGGCCATAGCCGCGGAGCATTGTCATAGAGTGCCGGAGGAGAGAGAAAGGGAGGACAGAGAAGGAGGGACTAAGGAGGTTGGAGAAGAAGGCAGACATAGCTGGGGGCGAGCACAAAAAAAAATAATAATAATAATAATAATACAGCGGAAGTGAAGGGAAAGAAAGTGAAAGACGGGGAAGTAGACGGCGAGGGTGGCGAAGGTGAAGGTGCCGGCAGCCATAGCCGAGGTGAAGGGTTGACCGGGCGTTGACCAGGGCGTTGACCAGAGGGTTGACCAAGCATTGACCGGGGCTTGTCTGCGTTGACTCGGCGTTTTCCAAGGCGTTGACCGGAGCTGCTGACCAAGATTGTGACCAAGCTGGAGTTGGTGATATCTCGTTGAACCCTCAGCCTATCCCCTTACCCTGTGGATGTGCACTTACCCCACGGTACTTGCTGAGTCTGTCTGTCTACTCTTTCTGCATTGAGTCTCTTTTGTCCTAGGTGCTAGGAATCTGTGGATGAAGGATAGGGCCTTGCTGCCAAATCTGCACAGACTTAGTAGCACCAAAGCTCTACTCTGGCACTTGGAGACCTGGGCATGAGCGGCGAGCGCTCGTTAAGCAACTCCTCTAGCCCAATGAGCGGTACTGTCCGGCAGGTCTACTGAGTTCAGTGTAGAGGGTCTGAACTCCGGGCTGTAGGTTGAAACGAGGGTCGTCTTTAAGTGTTGAGGCCTGGTTGAGCCACTCCCCTACCGGACCCAGAAGGCTGATGATCCGTGTCTGACGACTCGACTGTCCCGAGGGATACGAACCCCTCCAAGGACCGGTACTGACCGGCGGGCTGCTCGGTGTGGCACAGTAGGCTGGAACGGCTGAGTTGTGGGCTGAAGTCGCCAGAGGAACCAAGCTGATCGCGTCGTCCTATCTGCGACGTTAAAGAATTCTTGCGGAGTTTGGGGGATCTCCTTAAATGCCTCCTGATCAGCTCTTGGTTCTGTAGTGACAGCCTTAGAGTAGTCTTGGGTTAGTAGTGGCCATAGTTGACAGGGTCTTATCGTGTGGTCCTTAGGAAGTCAGTTTGTAGGTTAGTGTGCCCGGGTAGGGCTACATGGTGAGGAGTGGGACCCTTGTCGTGCACCAACACCACGATGGACGACTACCCGATGTATGGGTTGCTGGTTGGGTTCTCCCTCTGGGGGACCCTCTGGCGTCTCCTCTTTCCTCTGGGATTTTGGCATACCTTTGCGTGTAGAGTAGGGCCCACTCGAGGTGGTACCGCCACCCAACCATACACGAAGGAGGAGGAGGAGAAGATGGTCGCCATCCTGCTGGAGAGGAAGGAGAAGAAGGAGGTGAAGAAGAAGGCCTTGAAAGAGGAACAGGCGGCCAAACTAAAGAAGATGGAAGAAGAGATGGCCAGGGAGAAAGAGAGGTTGAAAAAGGAAGAAGA